TAATTTTCGGTGATCCCACACGTAAATTCACGATTCATCACTTATTACATAACAACAGTTAGGCTCAGCACCAATAGTTTCCGGCACATTAACTGATTTGCCCTGACCTTCGCTAAAAATACTGTATTTAGAGTTATAATTACTTTGAGCAACATAATTTCTTCGTAATTAGATTAAATTACTATTCACGAAATTTCTGCTGATCAGTTAGTTATGTGGCAGGAATGGCGATAAGTTAACCTCCTCACCACCGCTGGAGTGCTAATATGAGTCGTGATGATCTAGAGAGAGTAGTGAATGACGTGAAGGTATTCTGGCCGTATATAGGTCTGGTGAGACGGACCGCACTTGACTTGGCTAATGAGATTATACCTTTCGGTATATGGAAAGGGGATTGGCGGTTGACTATCGTAGATGCCTATGTCGCTAGAAGTTGTCAGTTTTTTGCGAGATGGTGTCTAGCCGCGAAGCTAGTTAGAATACAGCAGCACACTTCTGACTGCAATCCATCTCATGCATTAGAAATAAAGCCTATGCCCGACTCCAACCAGTTCAGGATCAGTAGTGACCTCAAGAAGGACGCAGTTCCTTATTTTGCATTAACCATCTCGGTACCTCTGATTACCTCAGAATACCTCTGAATGGGAGCCATGTTCGTCTTCATCATACCCTCCATTTAGCTGAACCCAAACCATCTCTTTAGAATTTTGAATTTTTATTGTTGCAAAAGCTTTGATATTTGGCAATATTCAACTCTGCGGTAGATAAGTGAACAGAAGCTCGATTTAAATCTTATTTGGAAATTGAAAAGGTGCGAAATCGGCGAAACGTTGTTGTAACTTACCGTAATCCAAAACTTGGTCAAGCAGTCGGTCAGCCGTCATACCAAGTGAGACCTGCACAAAAGCACATCAGTACGTAAATGTGAATGTATTGAAAAAAGGTTGACGAAACAATATCTTCAATAAAAATCTACTCACATACTATCCAAATGGTATTTTTCTCTTCTTCTTAGTCTTCTTCTTCTGTAATTCGATTGCCCTCCTGCCCCTAATTCAGCAGACTGTCTGCATTCCACTAAATCTTTTTGCTTATGCATATCCAAAACTGTCTAGGTATTTACTCCCGTGCATGTATATACATATGTAAGTATTGTACGATGCATACATATATATGTATAAGTGCATATGTACGCTCTTACACATACACACATGCAAATCCAATGACCATTCTTCATTGGAATGATAACAAAATGTCACTCGCTTCGGTTGCTCTGTGGTTTCTGCTTCACTACAACATTTTACAACAAAATATTTTCCAAATTGCATTGACTTCAATACCTTTGAACTCTTAACTCGAACTCGACTTGATGAACTGATTTTTAATGCAACGCTTCTTGTTGTTCTTGTTGTTTTTGTCATTACTCTTTTGTTCTTATTTTTATTATACCCAACCATATACTGTGCTGATCTGACTTTTCAACACACACAGATTTCTTGTTGCTGGAATTGCTAAAATATCCAGCAAAACCACACAATTCCGTAGTTGTAGAGAACCACAATCGATTTAGATACAAAAACGTGCGAACACATGTGTGTGTGGGTGTGTATGTGTGTATTTTTTTTACCAACTCTGTATTTGCTATTGCATATTCCTATTTGCGTAAAAGATAGTTAGCAGCTTTAACTGTTATCTGTGATAACTTCGTGCTGCATCTCGAAGGCTCGAAAAGTTTTCCTAATCAAAAGGTGTTGGTGCATGATTCTCAATTGATGGTTGATTTATTCATGAAGAAGCTATGTATTTTTTGTTTTTTTTTCACGAACACCTTCACGTAAATATAAGAGAGTCAAAAATATACTCAAATAGAAGTCTAGATTATTTTAGGGTATTAAACTCAAATTTTACATAAATTAAGTGAAAATGTTGTAAATAATTTTATTATGCGCCGTTGCTCTGCTGGTTGATGTCCTCGCTAAATTAAAGGCCACCCAAGAAGTGTGATGGACGGGACAAGGACGGAAGCGACTTCGTGACATTGACTACAGCTGCCATATAAATGAGCACAAATTTGGCTTGGAAGTGGGATGTAAAGAAAGAGACTCCGTCATTGAGTACTGGCCTTCACGTCGGTGGATGAACGTCTAGCCACAATTCGCATCAGAGTTAGGTTTTTAACATATCGCTGAATTTTGTTCGGCCCAACGGAAGAGTAGAACGATAGATTAAAAATGAGCTTTATGAGCACAGCCCCCGCCTCAATGTGAAAATTATGCTTGGGAAATTCAAAGCCAGGTTGGGCAAAGAAGGTATATTCAATACAACTGTTGGAAAATCAGCCTGTAGGACGAAACAACCTCCAAACGGGTTGATGCTGTTCAGCTTCCTCGGTGCACGATACATGGTTGTAGTATTAGATTCCAGCACAAGAAAATTCATCCATCTACTTGGCTGTCTTTAGATCGACAAACTCACAACCATATCGATCTTGCTGTGATAGAGGGAAGGCATGTGTTATATTGTAGATGATGTTATATTGTAGATGAACGTACTTTCTGAGGTCCTAACAAAGACTCGATATGCACCTGACTCTGTGAATCAACGAACACCCCTCAACAAATACAATGAAGGTTGAACATCAAAAAGAAATAATCACAACAAACAGCCGAACCCGACTTGCACTGCTGCTTTCTGAGAGCACCCATCAGCAATTTTTATAAGGGAACTGTGGAACGGCATCTCAAGCTCCCTACGTACCGCTACTACCTAAACGAATGATTCTCGACTGCGCCAGGTCAACGAAGTACAGAAAATAGACTGCATACCTATATCTCGCAGTCTTGCGATCGACCGAGGTGGCGTAGATACCGTAAGCTGAATAGGGTAGCAGGACGCATTTACAGACAAAAAAGAAACAGGTTGAGGTCCATCAGTATGAAGAGCTTGAAAAACTGACCGAAAAGTTTAATGCTCGAAAATTCAGCGTAAAAAAACTGCGACTTACAGAAAGTTTCAAGACCGCATAAATATATTGTAGGAAGCAGAGAGGCGATCTAATGACTGATACCCAGAGCAAACTGTATTTACGGATGGAAAATTTCTCCAGCCTGCTAAATGGCAGTGATAATGAAACACCCGCAGTTGGTGAACGCGAAATCCCAGTTGATGAAAATGGAATAGACGTTCCGTTGCCCGATTATGACGAGGTTCAAATATCGATTGCCCGTTTTAAGGACAACAAAGCGGCGGGAGCTGACGGCCTACCGCAAATGGTGGTGATTTTCTAACAAGGTAGATGATGAAAGCATCTCCGACGATAGAAATTTAAGCGTGCTCTTACTAATCCGCTAAAAGGGTGATTCCACGGCGCAGGCACTATTACAACTACATCCGGTTTTAATGCATTGTTGACCACCCTTAGGATAATCTCGATCAACTTTGTTGTATTTTTGTGACAAATCTGGGTTTGGTACTTTTTGGTACGAGATGTGCTCAAAAAAAAGGTCGCCTTATTTTCCCTCCCCATAAAATATTTACTTGTTCATCTTCTTCATTTCCAGCGTTAGCCAATCAGCAATAGAAGCACTCTCACGCTAAACTCCAAAGTAGTGTTGAACTGTCGCCGATCTCTGCAGGAGACGGCCAAACAGAAAAGACTGTCTCTCATATGAATCCCTGGTCCCAGTGATATCGACGGAAATTGTAATGCGGATGAACTTGCTATGCGGGGTACGATGGAGTTAATTCTACCCGATAAAGAACGCATTGGTATGCCACATGCAAACTGCTTCCCATATATATGTTCATATATGAACAAGCCACTACAAGGTGGAATGACATCGCAACCTGCCGCAACATCAGGCACACATTGCCGAAATGGGATAAGAAGAGATCACGGGATATGTACTCCTCAAGGAGCCAAGCAGAAAGACTTGGGCCTCCCTATAGATAAGATGTAGAAGAAGAAACGATCAACTATCTCTGATGCGACTGTCCTACATTGAGCAGAGCGAGGTTTCGTAATTTAGGGACTGCTGGATGGTCTATCGAAGATAGCTGATGACAAAATCATGGATCTAATGAGGTTCAGGATGAAACACGATGATGAAAGCTTTGTGATATCACAATAGGTCTAAGTGAATCCGGTCTGTTAGCTTGGTAGCCACCGCAACCTAACCTCTTCTTACATTTGGTTCATATGTTCTTGAGATCTTTCAGCGATTCGTGTTTATCTCCTCCTTGATCGCAAAAAGTCGCCATTCAAAGGGTCCTTTGAATCTTGGGTATGCGATGGCTGAGGTAAAGTTACAGCGTTGTTGTTTTACCATTAAGAAATTTAATTTTTTTTTTATACATTTGACTCTAAAGCTAGACATTTTGTACACTCTCTATTACCGTAAACAGGAACCCGAGATAGATTCGGTCTGAAATGACCTGAAAAGATCAAGTAGCCTCGAATATAGTTTATGAACGGGTTTTGAAAAAATATTTTGCGATTATATTTATATTGCGTTTTAGTCTTCATTGCTGTCAAATCCACGATTGCCCTTAAGCCACCTCACTTTGTTTGAGTTACTGAAAAATGGTTCGTCATCGTAACCTCATTCGTACAAATTTTGGTAGGCTATTCCCTCTAGAACGATACTTACATATTTCGGGGCTAAGTTATAATCTTTCTTCTTCTTGAAGAGTATAAAAATTAAAGTACGTAAATATATTTGAGTGCACATAAATTCGCCAAATTGAAGCATTAAAGTTTAAAAATTACCATAAAATTACGCCATTCAGTGCTGCTCATCCTTAATTGACCCACAGCAACATATGTTGCTCAAACCAAAAACAACAACACTATTACGACCAACTCCAACAAATTAATACACACACATACATATGTACCAACTACAAACATATTGTAGGTAATTTGCCTCTTCTTCCCCACAAACATAGCAGACTAACACCATGTTGGCATTCTTTTTGATTTATGGTCTTTGTCTTTGCAGTTCATCCTGTCATTCAAGTACCGAATCAATTAGTTGGCGCACCGCTTGGCACTGATGTGCAGATCGAGTGTCACGTCGAGGCCTCACCAAAATCAATTAACTACTGGATTAAGGACACTGGTAAGTTACTAGTTAGAGCACTACTCACACGTATGTGTGTATGTATGTAGATGTATGTTTCAGTAGTGTGGTCTATTGGATATGATGTAGTGCAATGTGGTGTGTTACATTCCCTTGGTACGGAATTGGGGTAATGGGGAATCATTATTTTTGCATTTTATAGACATTTCGTACATGTGCTGTCACTACATAATGACACATGCACATATGTATGTATGTTTATATTCAAACGTTTGTGCGTGTATATGCACATTAGTATTGGCCCAATTAAACAGTTAATGACTATAGAGCCAACTATTGAAGCAAGCAGAGGTCAAATAACCAACAAACCAACTAGTGATAGCAAAGGTCATTACAGGCAGTTTCCAGAATAGTTCGATATACATATATGTATATGTTTACAATATAAATTTGTTGAAATTTGAGGTAAAGTTAATATTATTTCGTATGAAACAACCTACACAATTGGACAGTGCATAGATTAATAGATACAAGTTTGAAAGCTTCATTTGAGCCTAATTTCAGTTATATATTATATCTTCTTTATTTTATTTTATTTTATTTAATTTAATTTAATTTAATTTAATTTAATTTTATTTTATTTTATTTTATTTTATTTTGTTTTATTTTATTTTATTTTATTTTATTTTATTTTATATCAATATCAAAAAGCTATAGAAAATTTATTTATATGTATCTAATTGCGTTCGCCACTCGATAGAGAATGTCAACCTTTCCGAGTGTATTTCTGACATGAAATAAAGCTTCTCATAAAAAAAAGTGAACGGCTGACGTGAGGCGACTTGGTATAAGCTATAGGTATCTCCCTTTGTTCGAAAAACATCTAGACGCAAAACCCCAAATTGGAGGAGAAGGTCGGAGGAAAATCGCTTCAGCGGTTATAAAAGCGCCAATTATATTATTTATTTTTGATATTATTTTATTTTTGTTTTTTTATTTGTATTTTTTTTTCATTCTATTTTGTTTTCTTTTTTATAATTTAATTTAATTTTATATATTTTCAAATCTTTAAATATTTTTATTTAATTAGTAGTTTATTTATTATTATTTTTTTTTTTAATATTTTAATTTTATTGTGTATAACCTTTTTTTCTTTTTCTTTGCCTTGGCTTATCCACTTTATTCACTTATGCGCGTATAAGAGTGCTTCCGCTTCCTTCCTGTCACGTGTTCCTCCCAGGCATTTTATCTCTATTATAATATCTGAGTCACGCATGCCATTCAGTGAATTGTTTGCTTACTCTCCAACACATCTCTTCTTTTCTAAACCACTGATTGATTTATTGCAATAGATTTTGTCGGCGACTGGCATATCGGTTACATTACAGGCATACATTTAGTTATTTGCCGTATCTACAAGAAGTGAGAATATTTTCATATTTTTTTGCCATGTTTGCTTATCGTTGGTTTACTTTAGGATTACTTAGAATTTGTTGTAGCGAATATTCGAACTTCATTGAAATGCACTAACTTATTTTAGAGGTTAGTGGCAGAGTTCCATATAAAGTGACACTTTTGCTACAATTAGTTATCTTCTACAAAAATGTAGAGCATAAACAAAATATTGGTTAGTAAATGAATAAACCTTTAAGAAAATGTGACTACTGGAGAGTAAAGTTGCACTTTGTTTCAATCAGCTTTCTAGTGTCGAGGCACGATATGTTTTGTCTTAGAATGAGGTGTACTCGTGTTCAGTGTTTATTGTGAGCAAAGTTCTTAGTCCACTCTTTGGACTATTTTGTTTTGCATTTGTTTGAGAGTCTGGCCAGTGTAATTCTACAATGATATTTGAACATTTATTTAAACAGATATTCGGCAACTTTTGCGATTTCCATATGACCTGCTTGAAAGACACGGCTATAGTCTGGGTATCGTGGTCGTACTAAAANTTTATTTTATTTTATTTTATTTTATTTTATTTTATTTTATTTTATTTTATTTTATTTTATTTTATTTTATTTTATTTTATTTTATTTTATTTTATTTATTATTAAGGAATCATCAACTACGAGCTGCTCTCCTATGACCAAACGCTCAATTCGGCCCTCTACTGTCAACAAATGGACCGCTTAAAGTCAGCACTCATCCAGAAAAAGCCATCTTTGATCAACAGAGGCTGAATTGTGTTACATCAGGACAACGCCAGGCCACACACGTCTTTGTTGACGCGCCAGAAGCTCCAGCAACTCGGATGGGAGGTCCTAATGCGCCCACCTTATAGTTCAATTCAAGTGATTACCATCTTTTCCTGTCCATTGAGTGAGAAGTTGGCCTCAAAAGAGGCCTTTGAAAATTCGCTCTCCGATTTTTTTTACCAATAGAGACGCAGCCCTTTACGAGAGTGGTATAATGAGGTTGGCATCTCGTTGACACCAAGTTTACGAATAAAACGGCGCATACTTGACTTAAATCGGACCAATGCTGGGTCTCAAGATGGATGATGGTGTACGGTCAGGCGCGCGAACCACTTTTTTACAGAACGGGAGTTTTCGTAAAAAAGTTGAACGATTTGTGAACGTTGTGCAGATGTAAGTCTTTCCATGATGAAATGCCAAACAATCCTGAAAAAAATAACATGACAGCTTGGCACGACTCACGCGTGGTTAGTCAAAAAAAAGTCCATTGAAAAAAGTACTCCTACATGGATCACTGGTTATTTGACATACATATGTTGTTTAGAGGTTAAAACTAACTGAAAATCATATGGAGTTAACTTTTCTAGTAGCGTGGGAAATTTTCGAATGGAACTTGTTAGTGGTGTCTAAAATGCTTGGAATTATATTTTTTGAACTATGTTGCCTGCTTTAATAACTTAGCTTAGCACCATAATCCAAGTTTTACTCTAGACTTTTCCAATTGTTCGGTGGCCTTCATTGTCTACGAAATTAAATATTTGTAAGCATACATATATACATTAAATAAGCTAATTCGAATTACCAAGAATAATTTGCTTTTTTCAAGTTAAGTCACTTTAAGAAATAATAATCAAGTGAAAATGAAAATGAAATCCAGTTTCTTTTAATAAACAAGCTTTACAATTTTTACGATTTTTTATGCGCACAACACATTTATATAAATATGTATTGTACATGTGTGTATGTGGCAAAAGCAGTGATTTTCTTCTCTCATCAACAGGTGAAATGATTGTGTCCTCGTTGAAATATCACGTGCAGGAATCCTCTAAATCCATGTACGAAACGAAAATGACAATGATTGTGCGTAAATTCCAGAAAGACGATGTGGGCTCTTATCGCTGCATAGCGAAGAATTCTCTTGGCGAGGTAGATAGCAGCATAAGACTTTATGGTGAGTTTAAAATGCACTTTGCAGTCATTAAATCTGTTTTTATTTTCCGCCCATCAACGTACATACATATATATAAATTTAGTTTTTTTTTATATTCAAACATTTTTATATTGTATTTGCCTTTTTTGTTGCTCTTACTTTCGCTTGTCGTTTTCATCTTTATTTCAATTACGTTGCGCAATTTGCTGCCAACACTGACGGCAGTAAAATGAAGCGCGTACGTCCATGTCCCGTCTTTGATTAACATTCGCACGGATTTACTCAGTTTTCTCGGTGGTTTTGTTTTCCATTTTATTCTCATTTTCATTTCACTTCATTTACAGTTATAGCATTTATTTACACTTTATTCGCTTAACATTTGTTATTTTATATATGTACATACATACATATATTTCTCTCCATTGCGCGATACAACACACAGAGATTCCCGGGCCAACTCGTAAAAATGCAGCGGGCAAACATGGCGGCGGCGGCGGCGGCGATGCCGACACCAACGATGTGCTGAAAATGAAACAAGTCAAAGTCACATATCAGCCAGACGATGAGGATCTATACGGCTCAGCGGAGGATTTCGATGACAGCGAACTGCCGTTGCCACCATTAACGCCAAACATCTATTTCCCGAATGGTCAACGGCAGGCAACACATCGACCGGCTACGTCTGGCGCCGGCATTAGTGGTGGCACACACTCCACGGCAAATGGTGGCGGCGGCACCTCTGATGGTAGACATCACCACCACAACAACAACAACGTAGCTGGCGGTGCCGGCGGTAGTGGTGTTGGTGGCAGTGCAGGTGGTATTGGCAGTCTTGATTTTGGCAATTTGGGCGCTACGAGCGGCAGCGTGAGTATTTCTGGTGGTGGTGGTGGTGGTGGTGTTGTTGGTGTTTTCGCGGTATCGACTTTTGGTGGCATTACGCGTAGGCCATTTTATGGTGCCGTCAGCAGCATTTTTGGCGGACAAACGGAAGCGCGCGACGCCATGTACAATAAGGAGACGGCACCGACCGAGCAGCATAGCCGTCACTACGCTACACTATGGTCGTGGTGGTGGCAACAACAGCTGAACAACTGTTATTACCGATGGCGTGGTCATTGGCGGCAAGCACTGCACATATTGCTCGTTTCCAGTTTAATCACTTCATTCTGTTGGAATTTATTATAATACGCGGTTGTAGTTAAATGCCAATGCGTTGCACCAATGCAACGCGCCACAACACCACCAATAACGCACGTCAACACCCACCGCATAGAGCAGAAGCGGATGGGCGAAAGCGGAGCGCAAGTGGGACAATGCTCAGCGGATGCTGTCAATGTGTCGAAAATGTTGGAAATGTCGGAAAACACGGAAAAGTGGAATGTGGCGTCTCCTGTTGCGGTTGCCAGTTGAATTATATTGCGATAAGTATGACTTTAGACAGGTTAGTATAAAATTTAAAAATACATATATACATAATATATATACCGTAATATATCAAATTAAATCAAATAATATATAGACATATTTGCATATAAATATTTCTATAAATATATATATAAATCGATCTAGATAAGGTAAAATTATAAAGAATTAAAAAATCAATTCTAGTCTAGTTAAAGTTGAAAACAATTCAAATCAGTTAATAACCAATTTCTTAAAAAACTGAAATGAAAATTGTTTTGAAAATACGTGAAAAAATGTTATACTGTTAAAAGAAAAAGTTATCTAGAAATCGCAAAAAGTGGGGGAATGGAAATTAATGTTACAAAGGTACAGAATATAATATCATTGTCATCTTGTATATATTACTTTACAAACATATGTACATATATGTATACTATATAGACTTTGATTATAGTAGGTTTTTAAGTAAAATTCTCATTAGAAATAATAATCAAGTCTAGTATATAAGTATAACAATCATCTAATGATTAAGACAGACGGAAAGTAGCTGCATATAGATATATAAAACAAATGTTTGTAAATATAAATAAATGAAGGAATACATATTAGCATTTTTTTAATTTTTTATTATTGTCAAAAATTCGAAATTTTTGCTTATTACACGTACAAAGTATACATATGTACATATATAAATATTTATTTAGAATTATCTTTTTGGTACTATTTATTTAATAAAATTCCAATATTACAAACTTAAAATGCTCCTTTTTAATTTTACATTATATAACCGAATATTAAATGTATTTTCGTTAAGTTAAAAAGGAGCATTTCAAGTTCAAGTTTATAATATATATATCGATAATTAGCACTATGGTGGCCGAGCTCCTCCTCCAATTTTGTGGTTTTGCGTTTTGATGTTTTTTCCAACAAATAGACCTACAGTTTTTACTAAGCCGCCTCCGAACGGAAAAATAACGGTTAATATACCAACTGGTAGGTAGGCAGTCCACCTATACTGTGCAACAAATCCTACTTTTCTATCACGCCCGGGAGCGGAGTAGTAGGGCAAAAACAGAAAAAATATAATTTTCCATTTTTTTGCATTTATCGAAATATTTTTAAGTGTATATACCCTAAACACGGACCAGGAGGATATGTATACCTTTGGATAGGTTGGATAGAGAGTCAAGCTACACCACACACCTGGTGACCGAGCTAGAGAACGAACAAACATCGTCTGGCAGCATCTGTACATAAATCTGCAAAGGGGCGGCCGCAATTAAAAAATTTAACTTATTTAATAAAGAAAAAATATTGACATAGAATTTTTCTATTTTAAAACAGTCTGTTTATTTTATGTATTATTGTGAACTAATAAATTTAATTAAACATTCGTGAAGCACTAAATAGAAACTCTGCAAAATATCTCCCAATGCTTGCAACATACTAACAATTTCACTGAAATGCTTGCAACATAAACAAGTTGCGGTATTTATACACAGAGAAGAACCAGACAACGCGCTCAACGAAACAACCGTTGAAATTGTCGAAAGATGAAGAAGGGTCAAATCTACAATTATATTTTATCCACTTGACAGACAGTTGTGTGTGAGCGTATGGTGAAATATTCAAATTTTGGGCAAAAATGATGAAAGTTATTGCAAAATTCCAATTGTAGCTGGGACAGCCCGAAAAATAACTCAAATGAAATTAATGCAAATCAATGACAGCAGCACAGGAACTCAACTTTTGACTTTTATTATTTTTTATTTTACTTTTTTTTTTCAAAATCATTATTATGTTTATATTTGTAGGTGTTATTTTAACTGTATTTTTTTAACTCAATTTTTTCATATTTCCAAATTCCATTTCTAGCGTAAATTAGCAAATCTTTTTCGCATCTTTTCGAACTTTGATTAATCATCACTTTTGTTTGAATGAGTTTGAGACATTTGGTGCGCGCTGAGTGAAATGGGTTAATGAGGTTGGTTATTTGGTTTGTTATTAACGCTTGACTAGAGAAATATTCCATTTATTTGGGTGAGTGTACCTTTTTTTTTTTTGTGTGACCCACGCGTTGCCGTAGAAATAAAGAAACTAATTTATAAAATTTTTTTCAAATTCACAGCTAATTTTGAGATTTTATTTTTGCCTCTTCTTTTTGCTGCTTATTTGTGCATTGATTTTAATTTTTTGTTTTTTTTTTCATTGTATATTTATTTTAAATTTTTCTCTTTTTCTGCCTTCCATCATTTACCTACCTTTTCTTTTTAATTAAAAACTTAAGTCAATTTATTTATCCCTTACCACTTGCTACTTTATTCAAAAACTCTTATTTTTATTAAAAAAAAATAATAATAACAAAAACAAAAAAAATATAAATAAATTATAAAGTAACTTTTACTAAATATTTTAAATTACTTCGACAGTTGTTGCTGTACCACATAAACTTTTCTTGCTCGTCTTACCAACAAAAACCAAAAAAAAGAGTAAGTTACTGCAGCTGTCAAAAATACGATGAAATGTCAAGAAATTTATAATTTATGCAAATTAAATGTTGCGCACTAATACAATAACATGCAAGTTGGCACACACACGCATGCATATGCTTACACACATACGCACGAATGTTTATAAGTTGTGCTTTTATGAAGATATGTGGCTTAACTCGCGGGTATAAATACTTATTATGTATGTCGGTCTGCCCTTGTATGTATGTGTGTAGGGAACACACTCGTCATTCAACTTGACATTTCAATACTCACAGCATTACATGCACACTTAACTTCACCTAACTTACTTATACATACACTTCTGAGTTCCTTAAATACGGACACACACACACACACACACCTAACACTCTTGTGCGATTGCCCGTCGCTCAAGTTGCGCATTTTTCATACAACATGACAACATGTTGAAGGATACTCTTAGCAAGATCTACATAATACTTCCTGCCACAACTGGCTGCCACTGAAGCGTGTGGCACAACAAGCAGCGCTGATAAAATTTCTTACCAAACAGTTACACACTGCAACAGTGAACACTCCAAAAAGGCTAAAAACTTAAAGATGCACTTCATCATCTTGTCGCTACAACAACAAGGACAGGAACAAAATACATAAACAACTGACAAACAACTATATCAACGTTCGTGTGGTTGTTAGCAACGTAAAAATACAACTGAAGATATTGCCAAATCCTCTGAAAGTTCACTAAAAATTTAAGTGACTCGAGTGAGGACTCATTTGAAGGCAGCACAACCGCTTGGGTACTATCTGTGGGTGCGATAGAGTTTAATGTACGACGAAGCATATAAAAAAAGAGAGAGATATGCCATTAATAATGGAAAACAATATCAACCAAAAGGCAGCCACGGCTATACTACCGTATCGTTTTTATGAAATTTTCTATTACCGAATCGCAAAGTGGCTGCCGAACTCCATCTTGAATCGACGCTCGCCTGTTGGCGTGGATCTTAGCTTTCACGTGACGGCAAAGGCAGAAGACACAAGATGTTAAAGCACAAGATCTCGGTGGCCAATTGCTATCATTTCTTTAAGAGATAAGACGGTACGGAAAGATCGATGGTTTCGTTGCCTGTTAAAAATAAACGTTGTCCAGATCAATATCATCTTATTCCGAGCATTAAAAATCATTAATCATCCCTTGGAAGCGTAATCCATTCACGGTAACTGTTGCTTCACCATCAGAAAATTTAGGTGCAATATCTCCGTCAGACTATAAACCGCACCAAACAGTTATACGTTGAGGTTGGAGAGACTTTTCAACTGCAAATATTGGGGTTTCCGAGCCACAGGTGCGAGAGTTTTGCTTATTGACGTTGCCGTCGAGGTGGAAAAGGGCCTCATCAGTCAATACGACTTTTCGATCAAATTCCAAATCATTTTCATATATTTCAAGAAGCCAATCAGCAAAGACATGACGTTGTTGATGATCGGCCGGTTTGAATTCTTGTGTCAACCTAACATTATGAACCTTAAGACCCAAGTCTCACATCGTATAACGTCATAAAATGCGCTTATAAGTAGGGAAGCATTGCTTATTATACTCGGTGAAGAAATTTGTGATGAGGTTGCCAAAAGTGCCATCCCATCTTACTAGCAAACTAATACAAGATGTACAAAAGTGGATAAAAATTATCTATAATGAAATTTACAATAGAGCTGGGTGCCTGAAACGTCTTAGTGGCAAGCAAGGCAAACTAAGATCACGTGCAAGAGCAACAAAGGAAACACCCAACTCTTGCTTACTCGTTCACGAAGGACTGCAGGACAACGGTTGGTCTAATGATAGGTCACAACCCACTGATATATCATGCACAATACATATTAGTGAGTGCAGAGAGGAAGACATTAGTGAGACGCTGGAACACCTCTGCAATTAAACAGACCTCCTGACCAGGCGTTCCAAAAAGATCTCCTTCTGTCTCGCCTTACCTTGAGCTCATCGTAGAGATCTTACAGCTTCGCGATTCAAAAGACTAGAGGAAACTTCAAAATTGGATTTTAAGACTCTCTTGCCGAAAGACGATGGCATTATATACGAAGAATACTTTCCTCGCAATCAAACGTACCTTGCAAAACAAATGACCAACGACAATGACGGCCCATTGCAACAAACTTTCAGAAATCTCTTCCCACACCAAAACACAGTCGCCTCCCAAATTGATGGCTACACACATATATATAAAAAGCGATTTTTAGCCAAGCTCCTTCTCCAATTTGTGACGAGCGTCTTGAGTTTTCTTTCATGTCGGAAATACACTCGGAGGACCTCACATTAGAAAAATAAATTTTAGGACCGGGACTGACATTCCAAACGATAATACGCACCACTATTACAATTACCGTTTTCTGTTAATCCCATATCCGAAATGCTGCCAGAGGGTAAAACAAAATTTGTGGTTAGAATTGAATCCCAGGGTAAAGGTGACTGACTAGATGACAGGCTGTGAGGGTTTCGGGCTCTCTGCCTTATAGTGGACGGGAGTGGTCAAACGCACGTACTAAATTCTCAATAGTCTACTTGTTGAGTGATTTGACAGGTGTAGAACG